ACATATTGGCTCGAAGACGTTTGTCGGCGAATGGCAGACAAAAGCAAAACTGAGCTGCTGGCTTCCTTTGTTGGTCTTTGGGGGGCCTTGTCGACTGAGCTGTCGTTACGATCGTCGGAGCCTATGAAAATTAACCAGAAAACTGCATCATGCTCTCAAGACTGTTCGACGATACTAGCAGAAGTTGGCTGGTTGTAAGCCTAAAAGAAAGAGACGGAATATGCGCCGGCATGCATTCTCCGGGTAGGACTAGTACCCGGGCGCTGTTTTCAGGCGTTACAGACGTGGTTCGTGCAGTACATTAGTATTTTTCCTCTACTGATAGAGTCTGCTATCAGGAGGGGACTTCGATTATTGCCACCTCGTGGTAACTGCCGACAACAGGGGCTGTCGCGAGGATCGCGGGCAGTTCTGTTGGACAGATCAGCTTCCTCCATTCCCTGTTAGAATACTGTCATTGTTAGTGGGTTTGAGGACCAAACATCCTCTATCCTTAACCCATGTCTTGACGGTCGCCAGACCAATCTGTGCACAACTGTCAAACTTTTTGCCAAATTTCAAGGGGTCTTTTAACTGGGAGATTGACTTTATTTTAAAACTAATCGACTTACCAAATACAGTGAACACAGCATCATTAACTCAACCATTCTGGGAATTCAATTCACGGCCAAGGAGATTAACAATAAACTGCCATTTTTAGACGTTCTCTTACTGCACAGGATAAAAGTGTTGCACAAACCATCGATTACTTTACGTGCCCAGCTTGTATAACCTAAGGATAGAATTAACTATTTCGATAAGAAAGAAGTCGTTTACAAGATCCTATGCGAAGCTTCTGATACCGCATACTGTGGCCAAATAGGAAAGTCCGTCTTTACACGCATTCACGAGCACCACTTGGCAATGAAAAGACATGATTATTTATCCGAATTGGCTATGCATAACCTTGATACAGGACACAGCTTCTTATGGAACAAAACACACCGTCAGAGTTTGCCCCCTCCAAAAAAGGCTGATAATTTCTTGAGACCATGCACTCCGACAGGTCATGCATCAACCGACACATAGGGTTAGATGAATTTTATAAAATCTCCGAAAAGAACGATGGAAGAGGCGAGGGCCGCACAATACAGACTGACAGAAGCCACAGCTACCAATCAGCTCTCTCACACTATATGACTATTTTTTTCTGCACGTTTGAAATTTAAGTTGCTCTTTACGCATTCTGGCTAGTCTGAAGACGAGCTGGGGGAACCAGTTTTGAAAATTTACTAACTAAATTTACCCTTTTATCTCAATAATCATCTTTTTTTCAAATAAAATATTTCTTGGGTTGCCCGATTTCCAACTCATACACAGGTAGTGATTTGTTTTAATGCTAACCGTTACTGGAGGCCAAACCCAAGTTTACTATTGCAAGTTCTATTGCCTTAGAGGCTTTTAAGCTCTTTCACTACTGAAGTAATTAAACGCATTATACTAATTGCTATTGTCTCTTTCTCCTCCTCCTTTCTCTACATCCGTCTGTAGGTCATAGGGCCCGCTAAGGACACTACCTTTTTCGTTCCATCGGTGCGCGAGGATGAGGCGAGTGAACGTGGCCTAAGCACACGGACGCAGGATGCTGTCGGTGGTAATTTTGTGCTCTCCGCAGAGGCCGCCAGTTTCGACGTTCAGGGCGACGAAGTAGGGATCTCCCATGGGTACTGCCTTTTTTCTTATTCCCCCTTCTCCTGCTCATCCATTGTTTTCTTTATTACTTTGCAATTTTGCAACTTAGTTTACTGTTTTTACCCTCGACAAATGAAAGGGGGACGGTGAAGGTCATGGTAACAGTCTTTTTTAACATGCATCCATAGTCGTCCGGATTTCTATTTGAGTTGGCTCTACCCTATTAGTGACAAGTGTAGACGTAGTGAAAATGCTGATCTGTGATACGTGTATATGCAGCATTCTATAGTGAGTCCCTTTGGCGAATAATGGAACTGGATGGAGTGCCAACCAAATTCATTGCCATAATTAAGGCCTATTATCGGTCTACCACCGCACGAGTTCTGGTCCACAACAATCTCTCTCAATCGT